GCAGATGATACAAAATGCAGCAGCACGACTGGTCTTCAACCTTCCTAAAAGAGCACATGTCACTCCTCTGTTCATCTCCTCACACTGGCTCCCAGTTACTGCTCACCTCAAATTTAAAACTCTGCTGCTCGCTTACAAAACAGACACAGAAACGTCTCCTCCTTACTTTAACTCTCTGATCCAGGTCTACACTCCCTCCCCCCTCTACACTCTGCCAATGAAAGGCGTCTGATCCAACCTTCACAACAGGGTCCTAAGTCTCTGACTAGACTCTTCTCCTCTGTCGCCCCCCAGTGGTGGAATGAACTTCCAAACTCCATGTGATCTGCAGAGTCCCTCTGCACCTTTAAGAAAAAGCTAAAGACCCAGCTCTTTATGAACACCTACTAACTTAATGATGATGGTCTCCATATTATTGATGATGATGATGGTAATGACGATGGTTTTTGTTTGATAACGACGACTTATAAGATGGTTTCTATACTGATTAGAGCTCTCAAGAACTGCCCTCAATGTTGTGCTTTGCCTCTGGTCACTTCCTGTCAGCACCTGTGTGTCCAATCAGACTCAAAGCTGATCGTTTGCTCTTACTGACATTGTTCTCTTTTTTCTAGATCCTTGCTTGTGTTGTTCTTACTCTCTGATGTACGTCGCTTTGGATAAAAGCGCCTGCTGAGTAAATTGTAGAATTGTAGAACAATGCAGGACAATTTTGTCTGCAGCTTGTGCTAAAATCCTTTTAGCAGGCTGTGTGTTTACTGCAGCAGGTTGTGTGTTTACTGCAGCAGGTTGTGTGTTTACTGCAGCAGGTTGTGTGTTTACTGCAGCAGGTTGTGTGTTTACTGCAGCAGCAGGTTGAGTGTTTACTGCAGCAGCAGGTTGAGTGTTTCTGCAACAGGTTGTGTGTTTCTGCAACAGGTTGTGTGTTTCTGCAACAGGTTGTGTGTTTCTGCAACAGGTTGTGTGTTTCTGCAACAGGTTGTGTGTTTACTGCAGCAGGTTGTGTGTTTACTGCAGCAGGTTGTGTGTTTACTGCAGCAGGCTGTGTGTTTACTGCAGCAGGTTGTGTGTTTACTGCAGCAGCAGGTTGTGTGTTTACTGCAGCAGGTTGTGTGTTTTCTGCAGCAGGCTGTGTGTTTACTGCAGCAGGCTGTGTGTTTACTGCAGCAGGCTGTGTGTTTACTGCAGCAGGTTGTGTGTTTACTGCAGCAGGTTGTGTGTTTACTGCAGCAGGTTGTGTGTTTACTGCAGCAGGTTGTGTGTTTACTGCAGCAGGTTGTGTGTTTACTGCAGCAGCAGGTTGTGTGTTTACTGCAGCAGGTTGTGTGTTTACTGCAGCAGGTTGTGTGTTTACTGCAGCAGGCTGTGTGTTTACTGCAGCAGGCTGTGTGTTTACTGCAGCAGGTTGTGTGTTTACTGCAGCAGCAGGTTGTGTGTTTACTGCAGCAGGTTGTGTGTTTACTGCAGCAGCAGGTTGTGTGTTTACTGCAGCAGGTTGTGTGTTTACTGCAGCAGGTTGTGTGTTTACTGCAGCAGGTTGTGTGTTTTCTGCAGCAGGTTGTGTGTTTACTGCAGCAGGTTGTGTGTTTACTGCAGCAGGTTGTGTGTTTACTGCAGCAGGTTGTGTGTTTACTGCAGCAGCAGGTTGTGTGTTTACTGCAGCAGGTTGTGTGTTTACTGCAGCAGCAGGTTGTGTGTTTACTGCAGCAGGTTGTGTGTTTACTGCAGCAGGTTGTGTGTTTTCTGCAGCAGGTTGTGTGTTTACTGCAGCAGGTTGTGTGTTTACTGCAGCAGCAGGTTGTGTGTTTACTGCAGCAGGTTGTGTGTTTTCTGCAGCAGGTTGTGTGTTTACTGCAGCAGGTTGTGTGTTTACTGCAGCAGGTTGTGTGTTTACTGCAGCAGGTTGTGTGTTTACTGCAGCAGCAGGTTGTGTGTTTACTGCAGCAGGTTGTGTGTTTACTGCAGCAGCAGGTTGTGTGTTTACTGCAGCAGGTTGTGTGTTTACTGCAGCAGGTTGTGTGTTTACTGCAGCAGGTTGTGTGTTTACTGCAGCAGCAGGTTGTGTTTTCTGCAGCAGCAGGTTGTGTGTTTACTGCAGCAGGTTGTGTGTTTACTGCAGCAGGTTGTGTGTTTACTGCATCAGGTTGTGTGTTTCCTGCAGCAGGTTGTGTGTTTACTGCAGCAGGTTGTGTGTTTACTGCAACAGGTTGTGTGTTTACTGCAGCAGGCTGTGTGTTTACTGCAACAGGTTGTGTGTTTACTGCAGCAGGTTGTGTGTTTACTGCAGCAGGTTGTGTGTTTACTGCATCAGGTTGTGTGTTTCCTGCAGCAGGTTGTGTGTTTACTGCAGCAGGTTGTGTGTTTACTGCAACAGGTTGTGTGTTTACTGCAGCAGGCTGTGTGTTTACTGCAACAGGTTGTGTGTTTACTGCAGCAGCAGGTTGTGTGTTTACTGCAGCAGGTTGTGTGTTTTCTGCAGCAGCAGGTTGTGTGTTTACTGCAGCAGGTTGTGTGTTTACTGCAGCAGGTTGTGTGTTTACTGCAGCAGGTTGTGTGTTTACTGCAGCAGGTTGTGTGTTTACTGCAGCAGGTTGTGTGTTTACTGCAGCAGCAGGTTGTGTGTTTACTGCAGCAGGTTGTGTGTTTTCTGCAGCAGGTTGTGTGTTTACTGCAGCAGGTTGTGTGTTTACTGCAGCAGGTTGTGTGTTTACTGCAGCAGGTTGTGTGTTTACTGCAGCAGGTTGTGTGTTTACTGCAGCAGGTTGTGTGTTTACTGCAGCAGGTTGTGTGTTTACTGCAGCAGGTTGTGTGTTTCTGCAGCAGCAGGTTGTGTGTTTACTGCAGCAGGTTGTGTGTTTACTGCAGCAGGTTGTGTGTTTACTGCAGCAGGTTGTGTGTTTACTGCAGCAGGTTGTGTGTTTACTGCAGCAGGTTGTGTGTTTACTGCAACAGGTTGTGTGTTTACTGCAGCAGGCTGTGTGTTTACTGCAACAGGTTGTGTGTTTACTGCAGCAGGTTGTGTGTTTACTGCAGCAGGTTGTGTGTTTACTGCAGCAGGTTGTGTGTTTACTGCAGCAGCAGGTTGTGTGTTTACTGCAGCAGGTTGTGTGTTTACTGCAGCAGGTTGTGTGTTTACTGCAGCAGGTTGTGGGTTTCTGCAACAGGTTGTGTGTTTACTGCAGCAGGTTGTGTGTTTACTGCAGCAGGTTGTGTGTTTACTGCAGCAGGTTGTGTGTTTCCTGCAGCAGGTTGTGTGTTTACTGCAGCAGGTTGTGTGTTTCTGCAGCAGCAGGTTGTGTGTTTACTGCAGCAGGTTGTGTGTTTTCTGCAGCAGCAGGTTGTGTGTTTACTGCAGCAGGTTGTGTGTTTACTGCAGCAGGTTGTGTGTTTACTGCAACAGGTTGTGTGTTTACTGCAGCAGGCTGTGTGTTTACTGCAACAGGTTGTGTGTTCACTGCAGCAGGTTGTGTGTTTACTGCAGCAGGTTGTGTGTTTTCTGCAGCAGCAGGTTGTGTGTTTACTGCAGCAGGTTGTGTGTTTACTGCAGCAGGTTGTGTGTTTACTGCAGCAGGTTGTGTGTTTACTGCAGCAGGTTGTGTGTTTACTGCAGCAGCAGGTTGTGTGTTTACTGCAGCAGGTTGTGTGTTTACTGCAGCAGCAGGTTGTGTGTTTACTGCAGCAGGTTGTGTGTTTACTGCAGCAGGTTGTGTGTTTACTGCAGCAGGTTGTGTGTTTACTGCATCAGGTTGTGTGTTTACTGCAGCAGGTTGTGTGTTTACTGCAGCAGGTTGTGTGTTTACTGCAGCAGGTTGTGTGTTTACTGCAGCAGGTTGTGTGTTTACTGCAGCAGGTTGTGTGTTTACTGCAGCAGGTTGTGTGTTTACTGCAGCAGGTTGTGTGTTTACTGCAGCAGGTTGTGTGTTTACTGCAGCAGGTTGTGTGTTTACTGCAGCAGGTTGTGGGTTTACTGCATCAGGTTGTGTGTTTACTGCAGCAGGCTGTGTGTTTACTGCAGCAGCAGGTTGTGTGTTTACTGCAACAGGTTGTGTGTTTACTGCAGCAGGTTGTGTGTTTACTGCAGCAGGCTGTGTGTTTACTGCAGCAGCAGGTTGTGTGTTTACTGCAGCAGGCTGTGTGTTTACTGCAGCAGGTTGAGTGTTTACTGCAGCAGGTTGTGTGTTTACTGCAGCAGCAGGTTGTGTGTTTCTGCAGCAGGTTGTGTGTTTACTGCAGCAGGTTGTGTGTTTACTGCAGCAGGTTGTGTGTTTACTGCAGCAGGCTGTGTTTACTGCAGCAGCAGGTTGTGTGTTTCTGCAGCAGGTTGTGTGTTTACTGCAGCAGGTTGTGTGTTTACTGCAGCAGGTTGTGTGTTTACTGCAGCAGCAGGTTGTGTGTTTACTGCAACAGGTTGTGTGTTTCTGCAGCAGCAGGTTGTGTGTTTCTGCAGCAGGTTGTGTGTTTACTGCAGCAGGTTGTGTGTTTACTGCAGCAGCAGGTTGTGTGTTTACTGCAGCAGGTTGAGTGTTTACTGCAACAGGTTGTGTGTTTACTGCAGCAGGTTGTGTGTTTACTGCAACAGGTTGTGTGTTTACTGCAACAGGTTGTGTGTTTACTGCAGCAGGTTGTGTGTTTACTGCAGCAGGTTGTGTGTTTACTGCAGCAGCAGGTTGTGTGTTTACTGCAGCAGGTTGTGTGTTTACTGCAGCAGCAGGTTGTGTGTTTACTGCAGCAGGTTGTGTGTTTACTGCAGCAGGTTGTGTGTTTACTGCAGCAGCAGGTTGTGTGTTTACTGCAGCAGCAGGTTGTGTGTTTACTGCAACAGGTTGTGTGTTTTCTGCAGCAGCAGGTTGTGTGTTTACTGCAGCAGGTTGTGTGTTTACTGCAGCAGGTTGTGTGTTTACTGCAGCAGGTTGTGGGTAGGGATGTCCATTTACAGTTATCTAAATACTCGTACCCGTCCCTGATTGTGGGTGTTTTTGTTTTGTGTTTTGCTGTCTTACCGGAGCGCCTGTTGCTCTGGGGGGTGAGTGTGTGTCCTCCGGTTGTGAAGGGGTCTCCTGTGGGAGGGTTCATGACACTGGTGTGGAGGGCCGAGTCGGAGTTTGTCCTGGGGGGCGAGAGACACACAGTGTTAGGGGGATTGAGAGAGAGGGAGGAAAAGATAGCTTATAAACAAGTTGAAGGTCAGGCCAGTTTTCACTCTCCAACATGGTGTGATATAAAAGTAAAACACCCTCACATGTGAAGATACCAACCACACCGTACTCTCAAAATGAAACACAAACGGCAGTAGTTGTTTCTTCCCACACAAGAAACGAGCACTTCACAACTTCACCGGGTATTTACAGAGAGTCAGATATGGTGGAAAATGTTAAACCTCTAAGTGTGGACTATGGTTGTCCATCTTTTTATAGAGTATTTGTATTTAAGGTTTAGGCCAATACACACTGAAAGCTAATTTTATGCACATATTCAAATAGCCTTTTTAGAGACAAAAAAAACACTCTCTCAAACCAAAGCAGTGTTTGAAAACAGCCTCCCAAAAGGTGCACAGAATTTCAATGTTTATTAAAATCTTGATTTCTCAGCTCATTAAACCCCTTGGCTTAACTAAAAAAAACATCTCTTACCACTAAAGTTCATTAACATTTTTTAAAATCAACAACAAACAACTATACACCAACGCTACATCAGGTCTGAAAAGATAGAAGCACGCCATCGGGTATTTATACATGCCAACGCTGCATCCAGTGTCACCCAGAACTTCCACCAGATATGTGTGCGTTGTGTGTGTCAGCTCCGCTCCACACCCTGGTCCAACAACACCCACAGCCTGCGACCTCAGAGCACAGCACGGAGCAGCAACGCCCGACAGCTGAAGACCCGAGACCGAGCCGTTTCCCAAAGTCATTACAGATTTACTCGCTACAGCGCGAGATAACACGATGTATGTGATATGAAACTGTATAAAAGCCTTCTAAACACATCCACAAACACACCATAAGGTCGGTGTTCACACCCGTCAAAATGTTGAGTGGTTTATTCTGAAAATAAACCGGATGTTTTAATGTTGTTTCGGTGTCTGACTTCCTGTCCCGCTCGATCTGCTCTGTAGTGAATTCACGCTCTGTGCTCCTGCAGAAACAGAAGCCTTGTGTATCTGCTGCAGAGGAGTCCTGAGCCAGTGGAAGCACACACACATTGAATAAAGTAAAAGCCTCATCAGCGCCGCTTCTGACGGACCGAACACACATCTGGTGGAATTTACTTTACTCAGTAAATGAGTAAAGCATTAAAGACCTACGACAGGCTACTGTTGAAGCACTGAAGTAGAACAATGACATTTTCAAACCTTGACCTTCATTTGACATAAGTGGAGTCTGAACGAGTAATAGATACAAAATGTTTTGGAATGGCACAAGACTGTCAGCTGTGATAAGAGCGGTAAAGGCTGCTGTGTAAGTTTACACAAAAAAACTAATAATGAGGCCGCAGTAGATCAGCACCACCCGTGACATGAAAGGTAACATTAATGTTTTTATCAATGGGGTCTTAGTGGCTTTGAAGAGAGATATGTAACAGATGTTTGAGGTTTAAAGAAATCATCTTCTTTAACAAAAAGTCAGGATTGCAGCCTCTGCCGCTGCTTCACCGCTGCAAGGTGAATTATTTAATAAGAACCAGTTTGAAAAGAGAACTTGAACTGGATTAAGATAGTACAAACACAGCTCTATCTTGTTGAATTCTGCAATAAAAATGAGCTCTGGCATGTATTCGTTTGCTTTAAGTGTGACCTGGTCTTTACAGATGTATTTCAAGTGCAGATACATGAGTGCACTCAACAGAAGCTAATGTAGAGAGCTTAATAACGTCAAAAGAAAAAAGAGATTCAATACACGAGAAGGAAGAACTCAGAAAGATAGTGAGGATTTTTTATGGTTGCAGAAAGAAAGCTTTACTCCTCTAATCAAGTCAGCCCCAAAAAAAACTGAGTAAAGAAAAATGTACTGAAGTTAAGACTTTCTGAGGATGGTCAGCAGGAGGAAGAAAAAATAATTCAGAGGAAGATAGAGGAAAACGAAGGATGAGGAGGATTCACCTGTTGAGTGCAGTGGTGGGGAGACGAAACAACTGGCTTTTATCCCCGGGGAAGTTTCCGGACCAATTCCTTTTCATGATCGACAAGAACAAATAATTATTTTCTACCCCAGAGCAGGAACAATCGGAAATTAGGTGGGGGAAAAAAAATGAATAGAAGAAGAGTGTGAGCTCCGAAAGCACTTTAAGCGGAAGGAAGGAAAAAGATGCAGGCAGCGAGCGGAGGACAGAGGGAGGCTGGCGTTTCAGCGCACGTGATGGAGGTAGGTCTGTTTATAAGGATGTGGTCCAAAAGACACCAATGATCAATATTTATCCCCCAAAAGTTAAAGGATATAAGCAATGCATGTGAGTTGGAAGGAATAGTAAATTGGATTATTGTTAAAAAATGTAATGATTTGTTTAAAAAAATGTTGCCATATGAGATCTGGCTAAGGTGTCCCACAGGGATCAATGCTTGGACCATTTTAATTTTGTCTGTATGCTTTCTTACTATCTTATCAAATCCAAAATAAACCCAACTTATTATGCACATTGGGAACCAGAGGGTCACTGGTTCAAGTCCCAGCATGGACCAAGTCTGGAAATTGGCCTAGTAGCTGTAGAGATGCCAGTCCACTTCCTGAGCACTGCTGAGGTGCCCTTGAGCAAAGCACCGAACCCCAAAACTGCTCTGAAGCACTCGCTGTGTGCAGCCCCCTTACTCTGAGACCTCTCCATTAATGCATGTTCATAGCATCCTGTTTGTGCGTGTGTTCATGTTCATTAAACAGTGTAAAACCTAATTTCCCCTCGCAGGATTAATAAAGTATAAATTATTATTATTAAACAAAGCTTAACCACCAGCAGTTCCACCAGGATTACGCAAGTTTTCTCGAAACGTTTTGAGTCAAACTTCTGATTTTGAGGACAGGCAAAATATTAGCTCGATCGTAGTTCCTATGCAATGCAGTATACAGGGGGCCATGAGGGCCAATCACAGCCATTCAGCCGCTCCTGACTGGTTTCTCTGACATGTTTGATATTTTGGTCGTATGACTGCTCACACTCACACAGTGAGAGCAGAGCCACGAGCAGATTCCCAAACTTCAAGATTGTTTTTTCCTCATTGTGCAACTAGCAGAGAAAGTCTGAAAGCACCATGGCAACAGCCGTATCATAAATGATACGACATGAGAAATATTGTCAGGAAGTAGGTGCAGACCTCAAGCTTACAGGGAATATGTTGTGGTTTAGCTTACTAGTTAGTTTGTGTTTGTTGTTGATGCTGACCGTGTTTATCTTTGATCTTTGCAGATGGGACAACTGAAGTAAACATAGATCTGGCTTCAACTTCCTTCCGTGGGAGTTTTTTGGGGAAACTTTATTGGCAGTTGTCAATGCTCCGTCCTGATTTAAAGGTCACATATCCTCCTCCTCTTCTTCAGTGTAAATAAGTCTCAGAGCTCTTCAAAACATGTGTGTGAAGTTTCTTGTTCTAAATCCACTCTGATCCTGTATTTGATCATGTCTATAAACCCCTCTATTTCAGCCCTGCTCAGAACAGGCTGTTTCTGTGTCTGTACCTTTAAATATGTAAATGAGCTGTGTCTGACCACGCCCCCTTTCTGGAAGGGCTTTGGTGTACTCGGTCTTTCTCGCTCCATGTCCTATTGTTCACGGTGAGAAGGCAGACTCAGAGGGCAGAACAAACACCTAGCTGTGGGAGTGTCACCCACCTGGGGGAGGGGCTACTGCCATTTGTGATGTCATGAAGGGAAAATCTCCAAACGGCCTGTTTGAGCACACATTTTCTGAAAAGTGGAGCAGGCAGAAGACGGAGAGGATGGACTTTTCTCATCATTGGGGGTTTGGGCTTCACAGTTTGAGCATATAAATTGTAAACCATTCACTCATGTGTGATGACACTCCACCCACACACAGTGTGCTAGAGTGTGTACTTTGTTTTACCCATCAGTTGAATAAACACTTCTTTTTAGTTTTTAGTCTACAAGCTCAATTCTTTTGTAATAACATGTTTGTGCAATTAAGACGTGCAAGAGTTTGCCTGCAGTTTTGGTAATAAAAAAACAAGATTAATCCAAAATCGGATGCCAAGGATTTTTATCTCTAATATCGATATTGTTTGAATTTTACTTGAATCATATCGAAGATTCAAATTTAGGTATCGCGAAAACCCTAAAACGGCGGCCCAACACACTAAAAGCGGCCCAACAGAGTAAAAGCTGGAGGAGTTCAACCTCAGCAGTGTTTACTGTCAGACGTTAGGATGTGGCTGGAGGTCATTTGCCAGCCTCAAGTGTGCGTCTGTGTGTTCATATGTGTGTGTGTGTGTGTGTGTGTGTGTGTGTGTGTGTGTGTGTGTGTGTGTGTGTGTGTGTGTGTGTGTGTGTTGTGTTGTGCAGTGGACCTTCTGTGTCTGTGGACCGCGGCCAGTCCCTCTCTGAAGGGTAATTGTTGTCTTGTTAGAAGAAAAACCAAAAAGAACGCAGACAGGCAGGCAGGCGAAAATTAAGCGACTGGAACTGGTTGCAGAAAACAGAAGAAGAGGCCAAAAAAACAAAAGAGGAGGCAGATTCCCAGAAGAATAAAGAAAAAAAGGAACAGAGAGCTCTTCAAAAACCAGTCAGGTTCGGAGAGGCGCCGGCTAAAATCAACTCTGCTTCTTGTTAGTTGTCTAGAGGTTAGTGTTTCTGCTGTAGAGGAGCAGCGGCCTCAGTAGGGGCCATGAAAACCTCGGTGGAGCCTCGGCGTCACCTCGTGATTCTGGGGATTTTTCTTGCATAAATTCAAGAAGGCGTCAGAGAGTGAGTGAGCAGCCCTCAGGTGGGGGAAATAGCTCGCTGCAGGACGTTAAAGAAATGAGATCTTTAAATAGGAGGTGATGCAGCGGGTCGCAGTTGGCCCGTCGGGTTTTGTTTGTTTCACTTCCAGGTGATCTGAGGTGTCGCAAAGGCTTCAGAAAGGTTCATAGCGGCGTGAGGACGGGGGGGGGGAGGACGGGGGGGGGGGGGGGGATTCCAACAAGATCATTTAAAATCTTAAAGAAGCTTCCCTGCAGATAGTTTGGGCTTGGTGAAAACAGACAGACAGACAGACAGACAGACAGACAGACAGACAGACAGGGGAGGGTTAACAGTCTAACCTTCTCCAGCTGGGGTCAGGAGGCGGGGACAGGTAGGCAGAGTTATACGGCGAGTTGTCCACCTGAGGAGACGAGTGGTTAAGGAAACAACAGATTCCACATAACTTCATTTTCTTTTCAGTGAAGCGCTGCTGGTTTCATTGTGCTTAAATCACTTCTCCTTTCTTCTTCCCTTACATACGTTCTCTTTCTGCGCTGGATTCTGGTGAAAAACGAGGGGGTTGTTAAATCAGAAAAA